TTCTTCTTTCCAGATTATTCTTGTGGGCTTCATTGGGTTCTTTGGCATAGTTTATCTTCATTTTGTTGGAGTCTGGATCTGAGTATGTGTTTCTTCATTTCCCTCTGGTTCCTGTACTCATTTTTTGCTGTGGGGAAACTGGTTTCCCTGTTTTTTCTGTCTTCCCATCATTGCCCTTGGTGTTGTTATTGTCCCTGTACTGTGTGCAATTAAGTATTTTCTAGCTTGTAATAATAACAATGATGATATTTAGAATGGAAGGGTGAGAAAGCAAAGAAGTTAAAGAAAGAGGGAAAAACAAGTAAACAAACAAACAAAAAAACAGTGAAACAAACAAAAAAGTTTCAAAGATATAAACAGAGAGATAGTGTACTAATCAATAGTAAGCTGAACAGGCATTACAGAGACAGAGAGAGGATTGAGAAAAATAAATAAATAAATAAATAAACAAATAAACAAATAAAAGAAAACTCCAAGTTCAAATGCAGTAAAGTTTTCCCCTTTCCAAGCTCACTGGGGGAGGTGACACTGCACCAGCTTTCTCAGGCCTGTGTGTTTATTTACAGTTCATGTGGGAGGTGGGTCTTCCCCCCTCTCCTGTGGAGTTTTCCTCCCACCACCACTTTTACAAGCTTTCCTGCTCCTGGTTGCTGGGCGTGTGCTGCCGCTCCTGCCTTCTCCAGCCGGCTGGTTTATTTACAGTTCCGTGAGGGGTTGCCCCTCCCCCCTCTTTGGCGCTCAGGGCACCCTGCCCTCTTTGCTACGTGTCTTTTTTGTTATTGTTGCTTATTATTCATTTTTTTTCTTTTTTCCCTGGGTGGGGGTCGGTCTGTCCAGGGGGCTATGCTGATCTGGCCCAGGGTTGTCTGTAGGAGTACTGCATGCCGCTTCGCTCACCTTGTGGTCTGCATCTTCCCAAGCCATCTGGGTGCTGGTGTCTGGCGGCAGCACAGGAACCATCCCGGTTTCTCCGTTTAATGTGGAGTGGGAATGTTAAGCGTGGGCTGGGGGTGTGGAGGAGTCAAAGTTTTGCCTCTTCTCTGTGGTTTTTCCTGTAAGGTTTATCTTCATTGTTTCTCCAAGATTTTACTTTAGGAGGCACACTTTCTGCTTCCTCCCTCTAGCTGCCATCTTGGAATCCTCACTCTCTGTCACTCCTTTTTAATTGTCCCAGAAACTCCTACTCCTCTGCTAGGGCGACACCTTCTATACAAATTGGGGGTACAGCTATTTTTACCCCCAGGAGAATACTTTTGCTTGCCCCTAACAGAGGAACAAGTAGACCCCATGGTGTGGATGGACGGACACACTGTGGGACAGGCACGAACAGCTGCCCCAGTCCTAACTCATCTCAAGGACCCCCTCCTGGTTTCCCCATCAAAAACAATATCCTTTAAAGCCAGAAGTTAAGGAGGGGCTAATTCCCATAATCAAAGACTTTTTAAAGAGATAGGGACTGCTAATAGAATGATCCAGCCCATATAATACTCCTATTCTCGGTGTCAGGAAGGGACCTAACAAATGGAGGCTAGTCCAGGATCTCCACCTGCTCAATGAAGCAATAGTAGCTCTCCACCCTGTAGTTCCAAATCCCTATATGCTTTTAGCCCAAATACCTCCAGGTACTGCTTACTACTCTGATCTGGATTTAAAAGATGCCTTCTTTTGCATTCCCTTACACCCTAAAAGTCAACCTATCTTTGCCTTTGAGGACCCCACAAGAAAGTCCGGACAGGTCACTTGGATTGTCCTCCCCCAGGGACTCAGAGACAGCCCCCACCTCTTTGGGTTAGCTCTAACCCAAGACCTGGCAGAATGGCAATATCCACAAGCTACTCTGCTACAATATGTAGATGACCTTCTGCTCTGTGGACCAAATGAGCCTGTCATTTCATGAGCCACAGAGTCCTTACTAAACTTCTTAGTAGATAGAGGTTATAAAATCTCTAAAGAAAAAGCCCAATTGTGTCAGTCTAGGGTTACATATTTAGGTCTCATCCTGGAGAAAGAAATGAGGTCTCTAGGAGAAGACAGAATCCGTCCAATCCTGACATTTCCTCTACCTAAAACTCTAAAGCAATTGAGGGCCTTTTGGGGGGTCACAGGATACTGTAGAATTTGGATCCTGGGATATGCTGACCTAGCCAGGCCCTTATATCAAATCCTTAAGGAAGCACAGAAGGATACCCAGCCCTTTATTGAATGGGATGACAAGTCAGAAAATGCATTCCACAGGTTAAAGAAGGCTCTATGACAGCTCCTGCCCCAGGTCTCCCAATACAATATAAGTTTCAATTATATGTCTATGAAAAGGGAGGATTGGCCTTGGGCGTGGTGACTCAGCTCTGGGGCATCACTCCCCAGCCAGTAGGTTACTTAAGCAAAGAGTTAGATTAGGTAGCCAAGGGATGGCCAGGATGCCTTAGAGCAATGGCCACAGTAAGCCTTCTAGTGCTTGAAGCTCAGAAACTTATCCTAAACCACCCCCTAACACTTTATACCCCACACAACCTAGGGGGAGTTTTAAACTCAAAAGGAGAACTTTGGCTATCTGACAGCCGTCTACTTAAATATCAGGCCCAGCTACTGGGAGGGACAGAAATAACTTTAAGGACCTGTCAGAGCCTAAATCCTGCATCCCTTCTACCAGAGGCAGCGGGAAATCCTTAGTACTCCTGTGAGGAGGTACTTATGGAAAATTATGCTGCCCGACCTGACTTAACTGATTGGCCCTTAAAAAACCCAGATCTAGAATTATACACTGATGGCAGTTCCTTTTTCAAGAATGGTGTCAGACATGCAGAGCTTGCAGTTGTGACAGAATTTGGCATCCTCAAATCAGGTCCTCTTCCTCCTAATACAAGTGCTCAATTGGCAGAATTAGTGGCCCTAACAGAAGTCCTAAGACTGTCAAAAGAACAGAGAGTCAACATCTATACAGTTTCTAAGTATGCCTTCCTGATCCTGCATGCTCATGCAGCCATTTGGAAGAAAAGAAAAAAAAACTAACTACAATAGGAACAGCTTCCCATAGAAATAAAAGAGGTTACTTTAATAGTTTTGGGGATAACAGCATTAGTTGCAGCCCTTGCTGGAATCAGTTATGGGGTGATTGCCAATCATGTAACTGCAAAAAACCTAACCAAAGTGGTAGAGGACACCTCAGACCAGGTAGGCCTTGCTAATAAGGACATGCAAAGGTGTTTGTCGTCCCTTGCCTGTATGGTAATGGACCACCGCCTGGCCCTAGATTTTCTTTTGGCCAAACAAGGGGGGTATGTGCCATCATCAATACCTCCTGTTGTACATCTATAAACACTTCAAGCATTGTAGAGGAACGTGCAGTTTACATTCTCCAACAGGCTAAGTGGCTCCGGGAGCAATCTCTTGAAACTCCCGTTTCTACTCAGATATGGGAACAAATAAAATCCTGGCTTCCCTCTAGGACTAGGAACCCCTCCAGGGTTCCTACCCTTTCTGGGGCCTATAGTTGCCATTATTCTCTTGCTTGCGTTTGGGCCTTGCATTTTAAACTTACTTGTCAAGTTTGTTTTTTCTTGCCTAGAATCCATCAAACTACAAATGCCTCTGGTAGAGATGAAAATGACCTACTACCGAGGTTCCCTTGACAACCCCTCTTATGGTCAGCCCTGACATTGCGGGCCCCTCATCGGCCCCTGTCAGCAGGAAGTAGTTACTGAACAGACTTCATAGTCCCTATCCCTAATAGCAGTTAGGGTGACCATTGAGAGGGGGGAATGAAGGACTGAAGGACAGACCTCAGGAGGTCAAGGAGACACTGCTCCTCCCTAGGAAATGCCTGTTTGCATCTGAAAGGCATCTCCACCCTCAGGCAATGCAAAAATAGGCTATAAAACCCACTCCCCACCCTGACCCACAGGATCACCGGTTTCTGGGTCTCCCCCCCATATTCCCCAATATGCAGTCTTTCTCTTCTCTTTTCTCCAACTAAATTCTCTACAAATAAAATCTTTCCGACCTCTGCTGTTAGAGTCTGTCTGTGCTTTCATTCTCAGAGCAGGCTCAAGAACCCTGAGCACCTGAAATTCCTTCGCGTGTCATCCATGCATCAGCCCTGGTAGGAGTCCCAGAGCTAAAAATACACAGTCCTTGCCTCAGGAAGCTCACAACTTAGCCTTCTTCCACCCACACACTTTTAAGCTTGCTGACAAAATGGCAAGGCCACCTTCTCTGGTACTTTGTTCCGTGTGACCATGAGATCTTGATCACACATCACTTTCTTGAAAAGCTGAGAAGGAATCAGGACAAAAGGCTCCACAACCCACAAAGCCACTAGTGTGGAATATCTAGGGTGAACTGATGCTCTTTCTAGGGCTTGACGATGTTGCCCCAGGAGATCCTGGTTCACCTGGCTAAGGGCCTTAAGACTGACGCGATCCCCATGGTATCTGGCCAGAGGTGGCGGATTCAGTTCCAGATCGGGACGGAGGAGATGTCGAGTTGCTCCGCTTTTTAGGGACAAAAGACCGGACGCGAGTGTAGAGAGCCGACGCCCGCCTTCCAGAGGGGAGTTGTTGTAGAGGAGGCTAGGCTGCCCTCCCCCACCAGGTGTGAAGGATCTGGTGGTGCTTCTATTTCGACAGCTCCACACATGGGCATCCTCCAAGTCCACTGTGCTCCTAAAGGTCCCAGAGACGTGCATCGCGCCACATCCATACATCCACACGTGGGTCATGCCAGTGCCTACACGCAGAAAGCTACGAGAGCACGCTGCGCATGCGCACAGAGCAGCTCAGCGACAGTCCCGCCCCTCCCACGTCTTATCCCGCCCCTTCCGCTCTCTGGGGGCGGGGCTAGAGCGGCTTCCGAAAGTCCCAGAAAGGACCTGGGACTCTAGAGCCCGGCGCTACTTCCACAATTCTACCTCCAGCTTGTGCCGGCGTCCCGTGTCCGGCGCCGGAATTTAGATTTCCAAGCATAACTCTTACAGGGTCCTGAGGCCCCTCCCATCCCCTATGTCCCCATTTCCAGCTGCAAATTACTGCAGAATCTGAACCCATTTGCCGCCAGGACAGGTGTAAAGGTCCAGGTAAGGTTCTCGCCCGGCTTTCCGGCCTCACCTTTCCTACTCTCCCACCTGTCCCCCGGGGGCTGTTCGCTGCCCGGACCATGGCCCAGAAGCCGAAGGTAGACCCCCACGTCGGGCGACTAGGGTACCTGCAGGCGCTGGTCACGGAATTCCAGGAGACTGAGAGCCAAGGTGAGAGGCGCGGGGTGGCGCCGGGGGACGGGGCTTGGGGTCCGGCAGCGACCGCCTCGCGGCTCTGGGCCTAGTGCCGCTTTTCCGTTACAGACGCCAAGGAGCAGGTCCTCGCCAACCTTGCCAACTTCGCTTATGACCCCAGCAACTACCAGTATCTGCGGCAACTGCAAGTCCTGGATTTATTCCTCGATTCATTGTCAGAAGAGAATGAGACGTTAGTGGAGTTTGCTATTGGTAAGGATGAGGCCGGCTCCCCAGAAACCTGATGGGCTTGGGTGAGATGAGTCAGTTAAAAGTGAGTCCTTGGGAAAGGTATCTCTTAGGCAGTCCCTCTGCTGCGAGGGCAACCCTTTTCGTTTGAGCCACTCCACCAGCCCAAAAGGGCAACCCTTTCCAATGCCACCTCCATTCTCCACACATTGTCCAGGTCGCAGCTAGTCTGAAACAGGCGTGTAACTTACTGCCCAGGTCTGGTTCTGCATGTCTGCCTTTCCTCCCGCTTAGGGATAAGATAATGAATGAGGGAATGGATTGAAGCCACTTTGAGGGAAAAGTTTGGAGATTGCTCTTTTAATATTTTCATATCAATAGAATCAAAGGTGACTTGGAATCTGTAGCTTTGGGATTCCTGTACTTGTTATGGTCTTAAGACCTATTGAATTATTCACTGGACAGATATTTTTTGGGCTGGTGCTGTATAGGCAAAAGTACTATTCCAAATGCTGAGAAGATGGCAAATAAGTTGGGGAAAGGTCTTTGCCCTAAAGGAATTTACAAACAGTGCAGTGATATAGAGCAGTAGTAGGTGAGGCTGTTTTTGTTCAGGCCATCATGGGAGGCATGCTAAGCAGATGCAGCATGGGCAAAGGCCCTAGAGCAGGAAGGAGCGAGAAGGAAGCCTGGTGTGTGAGGATTATGATAAGTCAAGGAGAGGATGGTACAAAATGAAGTTAGAGATTGGGGGCACCATACCTTACAACGGCTTCCATGTAGGCCATGAGAAGGAGTTTGGAATTTATTCTGAGAGCAAACAAATTCTTTCAGCATGTACCTTTAAGAAATAATACTTCCACATTGGGAAAAAAAAACCTTTAAGAATGATTTTGGGATCAGCTCATACCTGTCATACTTGTAATCCTAGCTACTTGGGAGGCTGAAATTGGGAGAATTGGTGATCCCAGGCCAGTCTAGGCAAAAAAAAAAAAAAAAAGTTTGTGAGACCCCCATCTGAACCAATAACTGAGTGTACATGCCTGTCATCCCAGATATTGTAGGAAGCCTAAAATAGGATTGTGCCTGCCCAGGCAAAAAGCAAGACCCTATCTTGAAAATAACCAGAATAGGGCTGGTGGAGTTGCTCAAGTGGTAGAGCACCTGCCTAGGAAGTGTGAGGCCCTGAATTCAAACCCCAGTGCCACCAAAAACAAAAATAGTAAAAAGGGCCGGAAGTGTGGCTCAAGGGGTAGCCATTGTGAAGCCCTGAGTTCAAACTGCAAACCCCAGTACTGAGGAAGGAAGGAAGGGAAGGAGAGAGGGAGGGAGGAGGGAAGGAAGGAAGGTAACTGCCTGAATTCAGAGGCAGTGCTCCCAGCACAGGGCCACCCTGAGATACTGACCCACTGAGCCAAGAGCTACAGGGGAGTCTTGGGCTGGCCTGGGTCTGTTCTGGGCAGCTCCCTGAGTGGATGACCATGTCCTTTCCCTCTGAGTTTGTACCTTGCCTACCTCACAGGACTGCAGTAGGAGAAGTAAGTGCAGTGTCTGGATAGACACCTTTTCTAGAATTGTTAATATCATCATCATGTTTTACTTTACCCAGGTACTTTTTTTTCTTTTTTTGGCAGTGCTCAGGATTGAACTCAGGACCTTGCACGTGCTAGGCAAGGGCTCTACGCCCTTCTGACCACTTTTTCTTTTCCTTCTTCTACCAGAGCAGGGCCTCAGTTGCAAGTGCAGTAGCTCTGTCACTGCTGAAGCCCTCTGTGGGATCCTCTGCAGATTAGATTTCTCTCGTATTTATTGTATATAGCTTGAAAGGCAAGTCCCAGTGGTACCTAGAAGTGTATTTGGTGACTGCTGTAATTTCCCTTTCTTGTAACGTCTCCAGCACTAGATAGAAACATTGTCAGGTGTCTGTTCTGCTGCTAAATGACTCTCTGCTGTGCTGTGGAGCTTTGAGTCTTTGTCCCTGATGGCAACTCAGAGATTGTGATCTTCATGAAGTTAGAACCCGGCCTTGCTTATCTCTGTAGTCTGGGGTGCTCAGGTCTTTTGGCTTGGAAAGGAGGATGGAAGTAGAAGGGAGGCAGACCTGAAAGTGGAATTTACCCTACAGGTATATGTTCTGACCCTGATTCCATGCAGTGGCCCTGAGAACTGGTTCTGGAATAACCAGCAGAGAAATGAGCTGGGTCAGATTGCCCTTAGTCATGTCTTCCAAAACCAATGCCTGTCTTTTGGCAAGCAGCATAGTGAGTTTGGTAAGAGCTGTGTTTTGGGGTTAGGCAAACCTAAAGATGGTTAATCACTCATTTACAATTATTTTATTCCCCCTTTCTCCTTCTGGGTGTCCATTCTTCCCTCAGAGTCCAGGCTCTAGTGGGTGCCTATCCCATGCCCACCACCTGCCACCTCAGCCACACCACACCACACCAGCACTCCATACAAGGTATCCAAATCTGTCACCACCTTCAAGGCATTCAAGAAACTTCTCCTCAGGGAGATCTAGTCCACTGCTTGAGGCTCACTCTAGTAGTGGTAACTGGAGCCAGGATTTTACCCTGATGCAGGATTCAAAGGTTGCATTGGAAGACCCAGGCTGCAGAACTCAGGCTCAGATTCCTGGCCTGTTTTCTCTTGTTTGTTTCTACCACACCTGGTCTCCTCTATTTGTTTTTTGTTTGGTTGGTTGGTTTTGGTGGAACTGGGTTTGAACTCGGCTGCATGGTTGCCACATCTCCAGCCCATACCTGGTCTCCTCCATCACATCCATGAGTTACTTCTGGTAAGAAGTCACTTCTGCTGTCTGGTGGTACCCACAGTCCAAGGCCATATTTGATCAGTATCCGAGGAACTGCTCCCGGGAGACAGGTCTAGCTTCAGTCAGCCATTAGAATGTTGAATGGGAAGTGGTTGAATTGTGGAGAACCATATATAAAGCCAGAATCTCAGTAAATACACACTGAATGAATAAAAGATTTTTGAACTGTAGTCCCAATTTAAAATGTTGGTTTTGGCATTAATTTGGGAATTTTGTCCAAATCAACATTGCTTGGCTTGTGGGTATACAGATATACTTGTTACCTAGAGATGTAAAGGAACTAGGAGAGAATTCTTTGGCCTATGAAAACTAACTGAATCTTAGGAAATCATGGGATACTTGGCAGCTTCCTTTCTAAAGCAGTTTTCAAGTGAGTGGTGGCCTCCCAGAACTCTGGTTAAATTGGTCTCCTGCGTTCTACTTTCTGCAATGCATGTAGCTGCCACCAGATGGTAGTAGTGCATAAAGGCTGGTAAATAAGTGCTCTTCTTGCTTTGGAAAACAACATAAAGCATTTCTCCACTGGGGATGTGGCTCAAGTGATATCCCTTGCCTAGAATCCTTGAAGCCCTGGGTTCAATACCCAGTACAAGGACTTAATTTTATGTTTCTTGATATTTGAACCATTCATCATTTTAAGTAAAACTATCAAAAGCCAAGCATGGTGAGTGCACCTGCATCCCAGCTACTTGGGAGACTGAGGAGGAGAGTCACTTGAATGCAGGAGTTCAAGTCCAAGTAGTCTTATTCCAGATACAGGCGGCACTGTGTGTGTGTGTGTGTTATTAATATATGTGAATATAGAATTGGTTGACATGTATAAAATTCAGAAGGGTGTATAGTGATCAGTAGTTTTCCCTTTTTCTTCCTTCCTTTGTTTTTGGTTTTTTTGGGGGTTTTTGGTACTGGGGCTGGAGCCCAAGACCTCACACATGCTGACCCAACACTCCACGGCTGAGCTCTACTTTCATCCCCCTTTCTAGAAGCAGCCACTGTTACTAGCTTCTTGTATGTTCTGCCTCTGGAGCTGAAATGCTTTTCAGAATTTACAAAAACCATATTTTTTTGTGTGAGCTATACATGAGGTAACATACTATGTCTATATTCTGTATTTTTTTTTAACTTGGCAGTGTATTTTGGCACACCCGCCATATCTCTCCCTGAAGAGCTTCCTTCTGCTTTTGAAGTGCTGCGTGATATTCCATGGTGTGTGATGCACCCTGGTGAGCCAGCCCCTTGGCATGGACATTTAGGCTGTGTCTGTTTCTCTCACAAGCAGCACTGGAGCAGGATGGCTTTATCTCTATGTCATTTCACCCTTTGGAGAGTGTATCTGTAGAACAAATAAATATCTGCAAGTGAAGTATCTACATCAAAAATGTGAAAAGCCATGATGCTTTGTTCTTTTGATTTAATTTTGTTTTTTTCATATTTGAAACATTCATCATTTTAAGTAAAATGGTACCAAAGCTGAACAAATCTATAGTCCCAGCTATGCTGGAGGCTAAGACAGTAGGACCACGTGAGCCCAGGAGTTCAAGGCCTAGGCAACATAGACTGTCTCAAAAAAAAAAAAGAAAGAAAAAACCAACCCAAAATACCAGAGATGTCATGTTCCTCCTGTAGTGGCCATGCATCTGCTCCCAGCACTCAGGAGGCAGAGGCAGGAGAATTGAGAGTTCAGAGACGTCACAAGTATGTGCCCTGAGCCTGGCCCCGGTGAAGATTTGACCCTGGGGTGGGCCGGTTCTCAGGCTGCCTGAAGGAAGGCTTACCAAGCCCTTGTCAGCTAAACCTCATTCAACCCCTGGAACAACCCTGAGATCCTTCCCTCAGGGGCCAGGTTGTCCTTCCCAGCACCAACGCCCTACTTGCTGTGTGACCTGAGGTCTAAGTCCAAAGCTTTCTCGCCCTGGGGTGTCTTCTTGTCTCTCAGGGGTTTCCATGGTTCTTGGAGTCTAGGAGGGCTCTGCCTTTGCCTCTTGTTCTAGTTGTTTTATGTGGTTTTGTTTGTTTGTTCAAAGCAAGTTCATCAGCTGGTCAGAACTTGCTCTTCTTTTTTTTGCAAGGTGTTGGGAATGAACCCAGGGCCTCTTGAATGCTAGGCAAGCTCTCTATCACTAAGCTACATCCCAGCCCTCTCCTTTTTTTTTTTTTTTTTTTTTTTTGCTGATACTTGGGTTTTGAACTCAGGGCCTCATTCTTGCTAGACAGGTGGCATTACTGCTGAGCCACACCCCCCCACCCTTCCTTTCTATTTTATAGCCGTCTTCTAAAATTGCAGTGTGATGAACACACAGTAGAATACACACATAAGTGCCAGGTCAGTTAATTTTTAAATTTGTTAAGGTATGTACCTCTGTGTCACAGCTCCTAAATCAAGGTGTGGAAAGCTGCCTCTCACATCCAGGTAACCACATTCTAACTTCCATCTCTGTTCTTGAATGTCATATAAATGGAATCATGCAGGATATACTCTTGTCTGGCTTTTCCTCTCAACTCAGTGTTTTTAAGATTTATCCAGATTGTTACAGTGTCATTTTTTTTTTCTTTTAATTATGTGTATACATTGTTTGTGCCACCTCCCCCCATCTCCCACCCCCCTACGGTGTTGTTTCTTGTGTGGGCATGACAGTCTGTTTATTCATTCACCTGTTGATGGAGATTGGTGGCACTATTTTACTTTAGCTCTTAAGCTGCGGGCTATACTGGCATCTTACTGTACTTTTAGATTTAATTTCTCTGGGTTTTTTTTTTTCTTTTTGGCAGTACTGGGGTTTGAACTTGGGGCCTCACACTTGCTAGGCAGGTGCTCTTACTGTTTGAGCCACTCCATCAGCCCTTTTTTGTGTTGGTGTTTTGAGATGGGGTCTGTCACTGTTTGCCCAGGCTGGCCTCGAACTGTGATCCTTGTGATCTCTGCCTTCCAAGTAGCTAGAATCACAGGCGTGAGCCATCAGCACCTGGCCTTGGATCTGGAGTTTGAGACTGGCCTTGGCCATAAAATCAGATCCTGTGTCAGGAAAAACAAAAAACAAAAACCTTCTCTTGAAGGGTATTTATTCATTTTTGTGGTGCTGGGAATCAAACCCAGGGTCTTATGAGTGCTAGGCAAGCACTCTACCACTGAGCTATATCCCAGGCTAAAAATAATATGAATGAGGAAACTTACCAAATAAAGAAAAGTTACCGTAATCCTACTGTGCCGAGATAACCATTGTTAACATGCTAGTGCATCTCCAGGCTGATTTATTTAGTGTGCATATTCATTTAGCAGTTAATCTGCTGAGCACCTCCTTCATGCCAAGCTGTGGATCAGAATAGGACAAGATAAAGTCCCCATTCTCATGGAGTTTTATAATTTGTTTTGTTCCTTCATTTCTTCCCTTCCTCCCTTCTTCCCCTTTCCTTCCTTCCTTCCTTCCTTCCTTCCTTCCTTCAAACCCAGGGCCTTCCATATGCTAAGCACTTGCTGTACCACTGAGCTATACCCCAGCTGAACTTAACAGTGATGCAAGAGCCAGTAAACGTTTGGACAGATAACACTAATGTCACAAGTATTTTGAAGAGAAGTGGACCTAGGGGAGGGAGATGTGCTGGGGAGGAGCTGATTACAGTGGACATGGAAGGCTCTCGGGGTGTCACCTTAGTGAACTTATTTTATTGTATATATAATTTGGCCTAACTTTTTCCTCCTTAATCTTATATTACAAATATTTTCCCACATTAAATATTTTTGAAGACATTATTTTTTTGTTTTGTTTTGTTTTTTTTCTTTCTTTTATTATTCATATGTGCATACAAGGCTTGGGTCATTTCTCCCCCCTGCCCCCACCCCCTCCCTTACCACCCACTCCGCCCCTCCCTCTCCCCCCTACCCCCTCAGTACCCAGCAGAAACTTGAAGACATTATTTTTTAAAGAACTGTCTAGTTTTTCATTATTTAGATTTGCCATAATTTATTTAATGGGTTTGCTATTGTTGAGCTTGTAACAAAATTTCTAGTTTCTGTGTTGCTCTTTTTTGATGGGAGGAGTGCTGGGGATGCAACCTAGGACCTCATGCATGGTAGGCAAGTGTTCTGCACCCCAAACCTTCTGTGTTGTTCTTGCTTCTCAGCCCTCCTTAGTTCTTCAGGGCAGTGGTTCCCTGGTGTAATGGTGAGCACTCATAGTCTTAAGGGCCGGGGCTCAAAGCATCTGTGAGCTGAGCAGCCTGTCATGCTTCTCTGGTGCCATCTTGGTGCTCTAGCCCAGATTTCTTGTCCCCAAGCTTCCTTCCCCTTCCCTTCTAGTCCTTTTCATCTCTGAGGGATGCTGCCAGTTAGGCAGAGGGCCTAAAGAATTCACTGCATTGGGCCCAAGCAGCTGGCATGCTCTGGCAGGCATCTGATTGGAGGGTTCCCAGACCCCTGTCCTGAAGCCTCCTCCTACTCCACCCTCCAACATATGCCATCTGGTTATCCCCTGGCTGTGTGGCAGAGCCCTGCCCAGACACACCTGGATATGATAACTCACCAGTCAGGCAGTGATTCGGGCTTCCACTGACAGCAGAGATAATTCCCATAGCCCAACCCCTATCCATCCTAGTCCACAGTGGGTTAGGAGGCTGGTACTCGGAGCCTGCCAACTGCCCATGACAGGAGCAGTTGTCTTACACATGGACAGCATTTTCCATGCTGGTGACAAACGGCTCCCTCTATGGGATTCTGGGCAAGTTACCCAGCCTTTCATGGCCTCAGCTTTTCCTAGGAAAGCAGGGAGAATGATGACACTTTCTTCATAAGGTTTAGTCATGTACCTAGCCTATGTTCAGTAAGTTACCACAGCTTGAGGTGCCCGGTGAACCAGTCAGCAGGCCCTGCCTCGTGCCTACTTCAGGGACAGAAAGGAAATATAGAAGGCAGTGGCATGGTGACCCTGGGTTGTGCTAATGACAACACTGTGAATGGGTGCTGAGGTAGCGGTTGGCAGGGAAGCCTCCAGGTGCACCGTGGGAGGCACCCAGTCATTGCCAGGTCTACCTCTGCTGCTGCCCATCCTCCTCAAGACTCAGGGAGGACATTCAGCCCCTCCTCCCACCATACTTGACTCCAGATCCTAGAACTGCTGCAGTCCAGGTGAACAGGATCCCAGGGAACCGTCTAGCCCTCTACAGTCTCTAAATCTTTTTCCCCCTTTGCTTCTTTAAAATACTTCCAGCAGTGCTGGGAGAGTGGCTCAAGTGGTAAGAGCGCCCTTCTAGCAATCATGTGGCAATGAGTTCAAACCCTGGTGCCACCAAAAAAAACTTACAGCAAATATTTGTGGAGCCCCTCGTGCTGGACACCGACATGATCTCAAGCATGACTGTCCTAGCGTGCTTTGTGGCCAGTAAGCAGGAAAACAAATCTAAACAGATGCTTTCTCAGGGTTAAGTCTGAAAAAAAATGACACCAGTGAGAGGGCTGTCCTGGGCTGTTGCAGGGGTTACCTCACTGGTAAGGGAAACTGGACTTGTCACTAGCAAGAAGGTATAGGAACATTTGGAGTGAGAAGGTTGGGGACTGCAGTTAGTGCCAGGGAGAGGGAATAGGATCTGAGTGGATGGTGCCAGGGTGAAGGGCACTAAATGGAATGTGAATTTTATTCCCAATGAAGTGGAAAGTCCTAAGTCCTGACTAAACTGTTTCTCCAAAGCAGAACTCAACCTGACCAGGTCCTGCTCAGGAGGGCAACAGAGCCTAAACCTGGTAACTCCTGCTCCTGGAGGAGGAGGTTCCCTAGCAGAAGCACCACAGGTTGGGTTCTAGGCCCAAGTGCTTGCTAGTTTCCAGAAAAGCAGAAGTGAATGGGGCTGTGACTCCTGATTCTGATCGGTCACTCAGGACTCCTGGGCATATTATGTCAATAAACTGAGAAGGGGGTTTCCTCTCACTGAGCAGGAACTAATGGGTGGAAGTAACATGCCAGGAATCTGAGTCAGAATGCACTGGAAGTCATCTTGCATTGAGAAGCCAATACTAAACAAAGTGACACCCCTCACCCCCCCGAAAAAAAAGGTAGCATTCATCCCCAAGGCCAAGAAGAAACAAAGTTGGGGGGGCCTGACCTGAGAGAATTGGGATGGGGTTCTGGCCTTAGAAGCTATTTCTTTATTCCAGAAGCACTGGTCTCTCACTAGTCTTTTCTGTTTTTCCCCAGAATCCTAGTAACAGTGACATGAAAATGACATTAAAATGTCTCACCTCATAGTAAATTGTACAGCATCCATAAAATGGTACACTTCATGCTGTTAATGTACAGTCACTGCATAGCCATGATCATAGTTACTGTCATGGAAAGATGTTCATATTACATTGTTAAATGAAAAAAAAAAAAAAACAATACTGGCTTACAACACAGCAAGGGAGGTATCCCACTGTAATTAAATATCTACATATATTTACATATTTTCCAGTTGTGGGATGAAAAACAACTATGAAGTACCTGGATGGTAGGAGTTTTGACATTCATTCACCTATGAAAACCACCCCTTATGTATACTCTAAATTTTTCTGAAGTGATGGTGTATTGTAGGTCTTGTTTTCTTTCTTCTTTTGGTGGTATTGTGGTTTGAACTCAAGGCCTTTGTTACACTTGCTAGGCAGGCATTCTACCATTTGAGCCACACCTCTTCATGAAGCCCTGTTTTCTTGCTTTTAAAAAAGGAAAGCATACCAGCCCTTAAAGTGGCTGAACCAGTTAGACGTTGGTGACTCACCAACCTGTAATCCTAGCTACTCAGGAGGCAGAGATCAGGAGGATCAAAGTTCAAAGTCAGACTGGACAAATAGTTCTTGAGACCCTATCTTGAAAACACCCAATACAAAGCAATGCTGGTAGAGCACCTGCCTACCATGTATGAAGCCCTGAGTTCAAGCCCCAGTGCCACCAAAAAAAAAAAAAAAAAAAGTGGCTGAACTAAGAAGGAAAGTGGTGGGGCTCACTTGTGGAAATGTAGGTGGTAGTAGGCAGCCTGGCATTTCTGGATCCTTGAGAAAAAGGACTGGAATTTGGAGACTTTGCATCCCTTGTCCCTGGGCCAACTTCTCCCAGACCTGGGTGCCTCCCTAAGACTCACTGGGCAGAGGAGCTGGGAGGGGAGGTGAGAGGAGCCAGGGGTCAGGGCACCCAGGCTCATCCTTGTTTTTCCCCAGGGGGCCTCTGCAACCTATGCCCAGACAGGGCCAACAAGGAGTACATCCTACAGGCAGGAGGCATCCCACTGATCACCAACTGCCTGTCCAGTCCCAACGAGGAGACGGTGTTGTCTGCTGTTACCACACTTATGTACCTGAGCTCACCAGAAGCCTGTCCCCACCCTGAGCTGAACTCCATGCCTGTGATCCAGTGCATGCTACGCTTCTCTCTCTCAGCCAACACAAGACTCCGGAACCTGGCCCAGATCTTCCTGGAAGACTTCTGTTCCCCAAGCCAGGTGACCAAAGCCCAAAGCTGGCAGGCTGACTCTGCCCTGGGTATCCCACTGCCAAGGACTGAGGCCCCACAGCAGCCTTGATCCAAGGAGACCCCAAGGCCCTAGCACCCATACTGCCAGAGACCACAGTCCTTTTGGGAAAAGGGAGCATACATAGCTGCCCAGAGCCATTCTGCTGAAATGGTGCCATCTTAAAGGTGAGGTTTTTCAGCAGGTATTTACACTGTGAGAAAATGAAAGCTGCTACTGCTTTTGTGGCTGTCACTCTTGACAACCCCCCCACCCCCACCATGCCAGGCTCACAGCCTCCTGTAAGAACTGGCAGGTACCAGGTCCAGAAGCTTTGCACTAGGATGTGCTCATGAGCCTGAAGGGGTAGTCCTCAACAGAACTGTCTGGAGTCATTTTGTGGGATAAAGATAAGAAGATCCATCATTAGAAGGATCTTGGGCCCAGAAAGCTGGGAAGGCGACCTGCCCCTCCAGCACTGTGGAGAAAAATACCTCCACCTCAAATCTCCAAGCTGGACATCTGGGCATGGTGGACACTGACCTAGATAACTCTGTGGCCCAGGAGTAACTGTTCACACAGCCCTACTACCTGCTAGGCACCTTGTAAGGGGATAAGAGATGTCCCTGCCCTTGGGTGACACAGACCAATGATTGTTAATGTGGCCACAGTGCCTGCAGATGAGAGCACGTCAGAATAAAGGCAGGAGAGCCAGGCATGGTGACACACATCTGTAAGACTTCCAGAAGCAGAGAGGAGTGAACACATTTCTACAGTGGGACACCTTCTGACTCCTGTACTTCTGTAGAGCAGAGTAAGTGCTACTTCTGTGCTGGTTTTGGAATAGGACCTGCAGCTGCATTTAAAAATATCTCAAGAGTCAACTCATGAGTAAAAATGGAGAAAATGGCATTTCAGGCTGAAAGTTCCAAAACTTTCAGGAGGTACTAAGGAGGGGAGAGAAAACTAGGAACCAGGAAAGCCCTTGGGCCAGTTAAACTGTGGAGTGATCAGGAGATTGAAAGTGTTCTGCAAGAATGGGAATTTTTTTGAATATGAACATGTGAAGGCTGGGTGCAGGTGGTTCACAAGGCCTGTAATCCTTGCTGCTCAGGAGGCAGAGTAGGAGGACTGTTATTTGAAGCCAGCCCCAGGAAATAGTTCATGAGACCCTGTCTCGAAAAAACCCAACACAAGCTGGGTGCTGGTGGCTCACATCTGTAATCCTAGCTCCTCCTGAGGCATTGCTGTTCGAAGAAGCAGCCTCAGGCAAATAGTTGGTGAGACCCTATCTGGAAAAACCCATCACAAAAAAGGGCTGGTGGAGTGGCTTGGGTGGTAGAGCACCTACCTAGCAAGCTTGAGGCTGAGTTTAAACCCCAGTACCACCAAAAAGAAAAAAGTGAAGATCTGGCAAGATCTGTTGCCTAGAGTCTCAATCAGAGGGGCATAAAGAAGAGTTGGAATAAATGTTTCCACATGCTAAGTTTGCAGGATTGCACTGCTTGTGAGGCTGAGACCAAGGAGTGAATCCTTGCCTTGTCCTTAAGAGAGGCCCTACACAGAATCATGGAATGTAGATGAAAGGACAGTGATCTCTCAGGTCCTCTCTGAAATGATGCCACATTTACCAGCCCCAGGACTGACATCGCTGTGGTCTTTGTGGAGGATTCTTAGCAAACACAAGGTCCTCAGTTCAAACCCCAATATTGCACAAAAAGAAAAAAAGATAACCTTACCCCAATTCTGTCTGAAAGGCAATAGGATTCTGTAACAGGTACAACTCTATAATTGGTGACTGTTTCTTTCCTTTGTCTATAATGAGAATAAAGTATGAAATTAAATGAAAAGCAGATAAAAGGATAAGGGCAAGCGCCCTTAGAGCTGCATGTTCTCCCCTCAGGCGCCAGGGTCCCATCTAAAAGCCTGGCCGTGCTATGCTGTGTGTTGAAGGAATCCTACCCCTTGAAGTTGTCCCTCACTCACACAGGCTTCAGGGATACAAGTGAGGCAGAAGAGATAACAGGATGTGTGGCCTGATGTCTGGAGAGACAGGAATGTGGGACCTGATGGGAAGTTGGGGTTTAGGAAAGGTGGGAGGTCCAGACTGACCATTTAAACTGGGCGCTGGTGGCTCACACCTGTAATCCTAGCTACTCAGGAGGCAGAGATCAGGAGGATCGTGGTTCCTAGCCAGCCCAGACAAATAGTTCATGAGACCATATCTCAAAAAACCCATCATGAGGGAAAAAAAAAAAAAAAGACTGGTGGAGTGGCTCGAGGTATAGGCCCTGTCTAAATCCCAGTACCACACACACACAAAGATTGACCCCTTAGATGATGAAGGAAAGGCTATACTAGAAGAAGGGTATCCATGAGTGTGGAAGTGCCACAGGTTCTGGAGCTACTGGACTAAGAAAGGAAGGGGGCTGGCGAGTGGCTCAAGTGGTAGAGTGCCTGCCTAGCAAGCATGAGGCCCCTGAGTTCAATCCCCAATACTACCAAAATAATAATACAAAAACAAGAAGGAGGAAAGGTCACCTCTTCAGCCCCTATCCCAATTGAAGGGTCACAAAAGACAAACTTTTTGTTTTTATTAAAAGCATCTTGACTGATTTTCCCACTGCCTTCCATGCCAACCATGCTCTGGTGCAGCCAACACTGGAGGTGCCAGTTGGCTGGGCCTGTGCAGACAGAGGTTACAGTGTCTCTTCTATGCCAGAGGTCACCTGGCCTCCTGGGGGCTCCCTTCTGTCCCGTGTCCCTTCCTTCAGCCTTGTCCACCATAGGTCCCATCATTCCCTCTGCCTGGCTTCCCGCTTGCTGTCTATGGTCGCCCTCCAGTCGTCACTCCAGGAGAGCAGCCGCCGCCTCGTGGGAGGCAGGACCAGGTGCTGGTTGTGGCAGCAGGTGAACAAGATGTGTTCCCAGCTTGGGGTCTCCTCTAGACCTAGGACAGGAAAGGCAGAGAGCATGTCATCTACAATCTGGTTATCCCTAATCCGGACAGGCCAGACGCCTGGAGGCTGCCAAGGGTAACGGTCCAACCTTGAATGGTGTCCTTGTCGTCAATGAGCAGGTCCCCCAAGACCATGGTCTTGTCCCTTGTCAGGATAATGCGCTCCACAAACTGGGGCCCCAGGTTCCGCTCCACCCAGTGGTACTGTGTAGGAGACAGGTCTGTCAGTGGAGCCTGAGGGACCCTAATTCATGGTCAGTGAGGACTGGGTGTGAAGGGGGGTCAGGTCTTTGAACGTGCTGGCTCCCCCGCCCCCTGCTTGTTTGTGTGTGTGACCCATTTTTACAGTCGGGTCTGGCGCCGCACCTTCTCGCCCACGCAGTGGTCGTACTTCAGCAAAGGGCTGGTGCAGATGAAGACCTCGGTGCTGCAGGGAAAGGGGGCGTTAGCCCGGGCCGGGCCGCCCCGCTCCCGCCCGCCGCCCGCCTGCTTACTCTGGCATGTCGTTCATCTCCCGCAAGGCCTCCAAGGCCCCGGGGATGGGCTCCAAGTCTAGGAAGAAGCCTGGCGCTTCATACACACTGGCCACTTTGTCCTGCAAGACACAGAGTTCCAGGTGCTGGCTCTGCCTGCATCCGCCGCGGCCGCAGGTCGGAGCCTCGGCTAGAGGGTTTTTTCTTGGGGGGGCGGGGGTTCCCCCAAGCTTTCGTCTCCCGGCTGGGTGGGCTGAGAGTGGGAGCTCTGGTCACGACAAGCGGGGATGCCCGGCCCCGCCTCGTCTCCTACCGCCAGGTCGGGCCGCAGGGCTCGGTACTGCTCGCGGGCGAGGAAGCCGCGGCGCTGCGCCAGCGGCACGTGCGGCTCCCCGGGGAAGCGGCGCCGGAAGCCCCGCAGGAGGCCGGCCTCGAAATCGGCCAGCACGCCGTCCATGTCCACCAGCACGCGCACCGGCCGCGCCGCCATCGCCGCCGGGGGTCCGGGGGGCCCGGGGGGCTCGGGGAGCGGCGGCGAGGGGGCCGCCGGAAGCGCGGACCACGGCGCGGGACGCGAGCCGAGCGCTGGCACCGCCGCTTCCGGGACTGAGGGCGGTGGGCGGAGCCCGGGCCGGCCACTTCGCGTCCCGCGCGACCCGGGGGTGTGGACGCCGGCCTGCGGACCCGCGGCAGGGCTTGAGGCCACCGCTGCGCGTCGTCTGGGCGCCTCGGGGGTTTGAACTCAGGGCCTCGTGCTCGGGAGGCGGGCGCTCTACCGCCTGAGCCTCGCCTTTGCCCGCCGCTTTCTCAGGACCCCCCAGCGTCCCCATCAGCTGCTTCCCCCTGTAGCGCAGAATGTTGAATTTTGGCGACTCTGTTTCACAGAATTTCATGAGGACACTCGCATTTGAGTGAGTGGCCATCTTCCTTTTCTCCCCATCTGAGGACCGGACTACTTAGGAACTCGGGAGCAGAAGCATCAGAAGGGGGAGCCCGACTTCTCACCAGTTTTAAGATGCGCAAGACCGAGTCCTGTGTTTCCCTCCGTTAAGAAGACACTGCAGCCACACAAACTAGAATAAAGGTCCAACTGCCAATGACCATTGCTGCCGCTCTTTTGGTAACTTTTTTTTTTTTTTCAATTGTGCAGGGTTTGATCTGAGGGTCTCCTGCTTGCTAGGCAGGTGCTCTACCACTTGGAGCCAAGCCACAAACCATTTCTGCATTGGTTATTTTTGAGGTGGGATCTCACTTTATACCCAGAAGGCCTGGACTGTAATTCTCCAATTTGTGCTTCCCTGCCTAGCTAGGATGACAGGTGCTCCACACTGCACCCAGCCATTAGTTGAGATGGGGCCTTTCGAACTTTGCCATCTGGCCTTGGACTGTGATCCTCCCTATCTTGGCCTCCCGAGCAGGTAGTTACAGGCATGAGCCACAGAGCCAGGCTCTTTTGGGTAACTTTTTTTTTTTGTGGTGCTGAGGTTTGAACTCAGGGCCTACACCTTGAGCTACTCCACCAGCCCTTTCTTATGATGGGCTTTTTTCAAGATACGAGTCTCACAAACTATTTGTCCGGGCTGGCTTTAAACCGTGGTCTTCCTGATCTCTGCCTCCTGACTATCTAGTATTACAGGCAGGAGCCACCGGCGCCAGCTGTCTTTTGGGTAACGTTTATTAGTCATCACCATTGTCATTTTAGGATGTTACTTCACTTTCCAGACCCTATTTTCTAACTCTAGGAATTGAGTACATCTAGCAGACGTATTTCCAGTTTCCTAAAATCTGTGACAATAGCAAAATGACTGAACTGCAGCCTTCTTCAAAACACCTTTAATTTTGACCAGGTGCTTATCCTCATAGACTAAGTTAAAGCCAGTTTATTAAAGTTGTGACATAAACCAGGGACATTTCTTTCCCAGAAGCCCCACCCTTACTAACAGGTTCAGAAAGGTGCAGGTTCCCTCCCTTTAAGGTTCTTTGTAAAAACATTAACTCAAGCCACTCTGACCTGTTTCAGTAATAGTGGAAGGATCCTGTGGCACAGTTGACTCAACATCCTGCAAAATGTTTTATAACCACTATACAGGATGAAAAATCTAAAGTCCAACTATCTAGCAATCCCTGTTCTTTGCAAAAACAAGCCTAATAGTTCCAAGGTCTCACTTAGCAAGGAAGGAAACTGAGGCCCAAATGGCACGCCAGAGGTGTGCTGCTGGTGAGTAGCACAGGTGGGACTTAAGCAGGTCTCAACAATGGCTGACTTGAACGTGTACCTGGCATGCAGACCTGAAGCCGTGTAGAAACCAGAGCTCTTCCTTCTGTCTTCTGTGTCACTTGAGGGGACTCAGAGCCCCCATGCCCTTCTAACTATGTGGACACTTCCTTCCTTTGTGGCCTCTTTGACACCTGTGATAGAGAAGGACCTCACAGGACTGGCAAAGACTTAAAAATTTTCCCCCTCAGTGCTAGGAATTGAAACCAGGGCCTCCCACATGCTAAGCACACCGTTACCAACAATCTATGCTCCCAGCTTCAAGATGTGAACTTTTTAAACTGCCTAGCACTTTGTGCAGGCAGGCAGATGGTAAAACAGGCCTTCATTAGAGTTTTGTTTTGTTTTGTTTTTGGTGGTACTCGGGTTTGAACTCAGGGCCTCACACTCACACTTACTAGGTAGGCGCTCAGTCACCTAAGTCTTTCTGCCAGCCCATTATTGTGTTGGGTATTTTTGCGATAAGGTCTCTCGAACTATTTGTCCAGGCTGGGATTGAACTGCCATCCCCTGATCTTTGCCTCCTGAGGAGCTAGGATTATAATCTTATAGGCATGAGCCACTGGCCATTAGACTTCTAACTTTAAATGACCCATCAAATCATTGGGCAGGATTTAAGTAACAAAGCAGCAGCCCAGGAGAACACTGAAACAGTGTCCGAAAAGAAGACACAAGACACAGTGTTTCAAAATGTGGATATTGTTTACTTTAAGCAACAGTCCGGGATTGAGAAGTACAACATATTTAAGGATGGGACTTTCCTTTCATGGTCAAGCACCAGCATCATGCACACAGCCTCAAGTTACTTACTAAGAACAGTGCCCCGGGGCCCGGCTCCTAGATGGAGTGACCACTTGCTTCACCACTGTCATTCCAGGCAGGTTGGTTGTACATCCGAGGCCTCCCTCTGCATCACACAGTAGGCTTTGCTCATGGGCCAGCCTGTCCTGTTAAGATCTGGCTTAGGTCTTAAGGTTAAAAACAAAAGGCAGTTTCTTTGCTTTGCAGGCAGCAAGGTGGGAGGAGCAGGCCTCTTTATTGTTCCATATGGCACAGGAGGATGCTTTTGGCAAAGGGCACACCAAGAGAAGCTCTGAATAAAGACAACCTGGTGTGGTGGGGGTGCCGGTGCACTGCTGATGGTGCGCCCCATCACGATAAGCCAAGTACAGTTTGTCAAAAACCCCCAGTACAAAAGAGCCCGTAACACGCTGAGAACAGATCATTTGTTCTTTAAAAACACGGTACTAAGTGTCACAAAGCTTTCCCTCCAGTCTACTACTAGGAAACACTCATGCCATGGCCCACAGACCCAAAGGAGTCAGACACAGAAAGAGAAACCTGTTCTTCAAAAGAAAAAGAAAAGACAGCAGTACATAAAGTGCTTCTTTTTAATGAAACAAATCCAAAAGATGTACAGTCAGGCTCAAGTTGTGCAGTTCACAAGCATGGAGAAAACAAACAAACAAAACGACAGAGTTCAGGACAGTCAGAGTTAACCCAAAACCAGGCTGGACTTGCCACCAGGGGGATTTCTCCTGGATGGCACTGGTGCCGGGGCCACTGGGCTGGGCACAGGAGCAGCGGGCACAGGCTTCTCTTCGCTCTGCCCCAGGCTGGCTTGGAAGTCTGTGTCCACATTTTCTAGGAAAGGAAAATGGAAGTGAGCCTACTAACTATTTCCAGTTAAGATTAAAAATCTAAGGTTTTTCTTTTTTGGATTGAGAATGGTTTGAAAGAAACATCCCAGAGAGTATAAAGAAATAAATCACCAACAACCACTACCCAAGATTTTCCACTGCTCATATTTTGCCATGTTTGTTTTGTATATGACCTTTTAAAAATTACACAAATATAAAAATACAAAGTTTTAGTGTCTTTTTTCTTTTAATCCCTGACACTGGGGACTGAACTCAGGTCTTGCTTGCTCCACGTTAGCCATGTACCAGTCCTAAAGAGCTTTTTTTTTTTTTTTGGCAGTACTAGGATTTGAACATGTTTTAGGGCCTCCCACTTGTTGGGCAGGTGCTGTACCACTTGTGCCATGCTCCCAGCCCTTTTTTCTTTAGTTATTTTTCAGGTGGGGCCTTGAGTTTTTGCCTGGAGCTAGTCTCAGACTGCAAAATCCTCCCACCTATACCTCCCATAGAGCTGGGATTACAGGTGTGTACCACTACACCTGGTTTATTGATTGAAATGGGGTCTCACTAACTTTGCTTGGGCTGGCCTTGAACGGATATTCTCCAGATCTTCAATTCCCAAGTAGCTGTGGACTACAGGCATGAACCGCCTCACCCACCAAAACATAAAGACTTTAAGTTAGGGCTGAAGGTGTAGCTCAGGGGTAGCGATCTGGCCTAGCATGCGTTAGGCTCTGTGATTAATCCCCAGCACTGAAAGACCTTTCTAGTTACATCACAGGGAAGTTATAGGTCTGACCCCCATCCCCAGATACCCTAACTACAGAGATGTTTACATCCTTACAGTCCATTTCTGTTTTATGTGTATTGATATGTAACCACAAATTAACATCTAAAACCTTCGTTTTGTTTGCATTAAAAACAATACTGACTTCATCTTTTCCAGTGTTTTCAAACATCCATATTTATACACAAATTTCATTTTGCTTAACTGTTTTATAGTATTTTATCATTATAGCATATGATATGGTATACAGAAGGTACAACTTACAATTCCACTTACAACTTTTTGACTTTAGGCTGGTATGGAGATACACATTCAGCAGGAACTGTGCTTTGAACTGTGATTCTTCCCAGACTACCATTCTGCCACCCACACTGTCTTGATGCTAAGCCAAAGCATCCTCCTTCCCTTGTGATCAGGATGCAAGGTAAAGAGACTACAGAACATGAATTCAGCCTGAAACAACTTATTTTTTCATTTTTGTTTCTCTGACCTGGCCTCATTCTATACAAGATCTGATTGAATTCTTCATTGTCAAGTTTGGATCAAGTGGTTAATGAATATTCTATCTTTTTTTGATGGGGCTGGTGTTTGAACTAAGGGCTTCGAGCTTACACCTCCAGTCTTTAATGAAGGATACAAAATCATCTCTGCTCTACCACTGAAGTTTATTTTCATAAAATTTGCCTCAGATGGAATCAAGCTCATTTCCTACCAGTTTTTATTTATTTGTTTATTTATCTATCTATTTATTTTTGAGACAGGGTCTGGTTCAGTAGCCCAGGCTGGCATGGCTTTTTTTTTTTTTTTTTTGTCTCCATACTGGGTTTGAACTCAGGGCCTACACCTTGAGCTCCTTCACCAGTCCTTTTTAGTGATGGGTTTTTTCAAGATAGGGTCTCACAAACTATTTGCCCAGGTTGGCTCTGAACCACAATCCTCCTGATCTCTGCCTTCTGTGAGGGGCTAGGATTATAGCATGAGCCACTGGTGCCCAACTGGCATGGAATCCTTATCCTTCTGTCCCAGCACCACACTGGACAATTCCCACCAATCTTATACCTGTCTTATGTCACTAATGGAACTGTTTTGTTTTGTGGTACTGGAACTTGAACTCAGGGCCTACACTTTGAGACACTCTACCAGCTCCCCTTTTTTGTGAAGGGTTTTTTCAAGATTGGGTCTTATAAACTATTTGTCTGGGCTGGCTTTGAAAAGTGATCCTACTCATCTCTATCTCCTGAGTGGCTAAGATTACAGGCATGAGCCACCAGCTCTGGCTGTTTTGTTCTTAACAAGTAGACAACATACTAAAAAAGAAAAAGAAAGTAAAAGCACCCCTGGAGACTAGACAAGCAGCAGCAAACCTTCACTTCAGCATGTTGGGTCAGAAATAACTCTGCTTGAAGAAGAGGGAAGTTTATTGTTTTCAGTCTGTTAAGGAGTAAAGAACTGAAAGCAAAGCATTTAGGTTTTTTTCTTTGTTTGCTTTTGAGACAGAGTCTCAAAATGTGGCCCAGGATGGCCTGAACTCTCAGTCCTTTGCCTTGGCCTCCCAAGTGGCTGGGATCACAGACAAGAACCACCACGCCCAGTCTTAGATACTTTTATAGCAATTTGACAACAATGGGCTGTCTGTTCAAACTAGCCATTTTCTTTCCAACCTAATAATTCTAAAACATGAGACTTCAAAGGAAAATATCTCTTATCAAACATACGTTTATTTATTTATTGTGGTACTAAGGACCAAACCCAGGCCTGCACATTAAAACTTTTTATATATTCCCTATATACTCCTGACTTCTTCTTTGGCACTTCAGTAAGATAACCAAACAAAGACACCTATGTGTACATAGAAAAATGATTCATTGTAGGCACCAAAGAAATCAGAACAGGGAGAAATGTAACAGTCTAATTTGCCTGAAGGTGGGGCCTAAACTTCCTGGACTTTCTCCTGTTTTCTTTGCAGGACTGGGGATTGAACCCAGGACCTTGCACATGCTAGGCAAACACTGGGCTATACTCCCAGCCTCTCGTCTTTCTTAAAGGCTCACTTATAGCCATTCCTGTGTTTAACTGGACAAAAGATCAAGGCAATTTCCGTTATAGCCAAACAAAACCTGTCTTCCTTCAAATGGTCAGAGTTCCCTCCTTTCAACTCAACTTTCAACACAATTGGAATTAACTTTTACTCCACCACCTGCATCTTGAAGAATTATGCCCCAGTCACTTTTATGACAAACAAGCTAAAAGTTGCAGTACTTGGGTACACAAAATGATCAGGTGACAAAACTGATGCCTATTAAAGGTGTGGTGGTACATGTCTATAATCCCAGATATTCAGGAGGCTGAGGCAGAAGGATCACAAGTTCAAGGCCAGCCTAAGCAACTTAGTGATAACATGTCAACAAAAAAAATTAGCCTATGTCTTCATTGGAGGGGCAAGAAAACTCAAACAAACAGCTAGGCATATAGCTCAGTGGTAAAGTTCTTGCCTAGCATGTAAACAGCCCTGGGTTTGATCCCCAGTGCCACCAAAAACAAAAACAAACAAAAAAAGCCACCAAGGAGTACATGCATAACATACAATTCAAGGTGCTATTTCCCTGAAAAATCTATAATGAATGAACTGAGCTGGGAAAGGGAATTATTAATTATTCAGTGAGACTAATGACATATTGTCTCTGTCTTCATCAAAGCTCTCTCAAGTTTCCAGGCACCTAAAATTTTTAATTATATTCACTGGCCCAAATCAGATTAAGCTGATTGTAGAGCGAGGGGTGTAGCTCACTGGTAGAGTCCTCGCCTGGCATTTCCCATGGGGATGGGGAAGAGAAGCTGACACTGCTAATTGTGGAAGTACTCAGAAGATAAGCAGTGCAACTGAAAAACCTAGAAGATTTTGTTTTTTCACTTCTGGAACAATCTTTACAAATGCCACAAACTGAACACAAACAGTAACTGCTACATCCCCAGTCCAGTGGTAAAGTGACTAGTCCAGGCAATGCTCCAAAAGCCCAGGAGCCTCCCCTCCTATTATGCACCACCAGGAAGCACCATTTGAGAGGGCACAAGAGAAGTCTGGTTCCTACACATTCTGTATCACAAAATGGAATGGGCGGGGGGAGGATAAAGATTAATAAAGGAGCCCTGTGCTGGTGGCTCACGCCTGTAATCCTAGCCACCTGGGAGACTAAGATTGGGAAGGATCATGCCTGCCAAGTAAACAGTTTGCAAAAACAGCCAGAGCAAAATGGAGGTGTGGCTCAAGGGATAGAGCACCTGCTTTGCAAGTGAAGAAGCCCTGAGTTCAAACCCCAGTCTCACTAAAAAATGGTAAATTAAAAAAAAAAAAAGTAAGCTGGGTGCTGGTGGCTCACGCCTGTAATCCTAGCTACTCAGGAGACAGAGACCAGGAGGAGCTCGATTCAAAGCCAGTCCAGGCAAATAGTTCTTGAGACCCTACCTCAAAAACAACCCAAAACAAAACACAGCTGGTGGAATGCCTCAAGTGGTGGAGGCACCTGCCTAGCAAGTGTGAGGCCCTGAGTTCAAATCTCAGTACCACCAAAAAAAAAAAAAGTAAGAGAGAGAGTAATAAAGGGGGTGAATATGTAGAGACATCCATGTATGGAAATATTACAATAAAGCTCCTCACATTGTTCAATTAATATGTGCTAATAAAAAAACGTACTGCTCCGAGAGACTAAGAGGAAGCAGCCTCTTTCTTCTGGGCCGCAAGGTCTGTGACTGCAACTTGACTGATTGCTACTGCCTCACACCTGTAAGCTTCAGTTTAAACTCAGCAGCACTTGTTAAAAGAAGTGCCAATAAGATACTTCAAAGGTTTAAAATAATTACATAAAGGACTACAGCTCATTTCCACCTATAACTGGTAATGTAGATGGCTAACTGGGGATCTACAGCTGGCCCCAAGATCATTTCAAATTCACCCAGCAGATAACCAGTCTCTTGCTGAATAAGCAACTCAGGACAAATTCAAATGAACTCTGCAAGTTAAGCTTGTGATGCCAGAGCACCTCACTACGAAGCCCTCAGTAAGTGTAGCAAACACCGACATCATGTCGGTATATCTTTAAAGGATTCTCCAGGACATTTCTAGCACATTCACAACAGGCTGTGTTTACTAACTTTCTACTTTCGTTTTCTCTCCACCCAGAGTGTTTTCATGCTCGGGGCCAGTCTATCTCTTTCCCCCAAGATATGACTTGAATCGAAGTTCCAATCTGTTCTAAAACCATTAATAGAACTAGCAATCCCATCTTCAGAAGTACTCACCATGAATGTCACCTTCTCCCTGGAAAAGAAAAAAATTTAAAAATTTACTTCCTGTTTTAATATTGCAACACACAAAGTAGTCATAGTTCAGCGGGAACATGTCTAGTTGAAATCAAGAGTCCTTGGCCGCCATGGTAACTGCAGAAGCAGGACTATCACAAATGGCCAGATGGTTACACAGGACTACAAAGGATCAGTCATGCTCTGATTTCCTGTCTTTGAAGACACATAGTTGAAATGTCTCCCAAAACCTTAAGTAATACTTTCTTTTATATCCAGCCAAAATCTCATTTTAGGTTTTCTTTCTTTCTTTGGTTTGGTTGCAAAACTAGGGATTTCTCTACTGCTTGAATCTGACTCCCAGCCCATTTTATTGTATTTTGTTTTCCAGGTAGGTTCTCACTAACTTTGGGCTGGCTTCAAACTGGAAATCTTCCTGTCTCCCAAGCAGCTGAGATTATAGGAATGCACTCAGCTAGTCTTAGGTTTTGGAACATTATTTTCAAAGCTTTATTTTATTTATTTATTTTTTTGGCAGTACTGGAATGTGAACTCAGGGTTTCTCTTTTGCCAGCCTTATGGTCTATCTCTTGACCCACACCAACATCCTCAAGGCACATTTTTAAAAAATGAATGTCTTAAGGGCAGAATAGTGTCTGCCGGGTATCGAGGGGGTGGGGAGGAGAGGAAAGGGGTGGAGTGGGTGGTAAGGGAGGGAGTGGGGGAAGGGGGGAGAAATGACCCAAGCATTGTATGCACATATGAATAATAAAACAATAAAAATTAAATAAAAAATTGGGAGACACAAAAAAAAAAAATTAATGTCTTGTAACATTGTAATCTGAAATACTACCAGGTCCTAGTATTTCAATATACTGTCAATATCAACTTTGTGAGAACTGTGGAAAAGAGTCAAAAGTTTAGAGCAACCAAGTAAGTGGTATGAATAGGAAAGCTTTGTGGACTTTTCAACTAGCCTTGTGCCAGCTCCCTCACCATTATGCAGTGGTACTGAAGACAGCAGGCACATCCCCACTTTGGGGATCTGGTCCTGAAGGGAGCCTTATTCCCCTTATTCCCAAGGAAGTGTGTTTGTTTGTTCTGACCTGTCTCAGGGTTCCTGGAAGGACTGACATAAAGCCCTTTCCTTTGTTTCACCTAACTCAGGTTCCTCTCAGAGTGGAAAAGGGGCAAAGATCTAGAACAGGAACAAGTGGCAATATTCATTCAACATGGGACACTGCTATACAACAACGCTACAATAAACTGGCCCAGTGTAACACCCCTAAAACATGGGGAAAAGCACCATTTATTCTGATGAGTAAATGCCACTTAGTGTTTTAGAGGATCTTTCACCAGAACAACAAAAGCTGTCTGCTTTTCTCTTTTGTTGTTGTTGTGGTGCTGAGGATCAAACCCGGGGCCTTGAGCACAGCAGGCCACTATACTACTGCTGAAAAAAACAGACTTCAACTCCAGTGCCCCTGGAGTTCAACTCCCAGCAACATTCTCAAACAAGTGAAACAGTCCTGGACTCTTGAACTCAGAAATGCCATTCTCCACTCTGCCTGAGATGCAGAAGTGAGGGTGACCCAGAAATCCCCAGAATCAATTCCAAAGGACCTAATCTTAAGTCTAACGGTAAAGGAGATTTCTGAGCAGATCAGGACCAGGTCAACTCACTTGTCAGACTTTCTTCTCTATCAATCTGCCATCACCCAGATGGCCCAGTCCCTTTCCTAAGGACGGCTATGCAAATGTCCAGTAGCAGAACTGAAACTCTTAGTAAACAAGGAGCAGTTTAATTTCCACACCCTGCAGCCCTCAGCTCGGCTTTTCCCATGGTGCCACACTGACCTTCAGATCTAAGAAGTCTCCAGAGCTTGCTTCAGAGGAGCTCCTGCTCTGCAGTCCAGATGACTCCGAATCTTCTCTGCCACCACTAGACTTGGCACCTAGAAACCAAAATATGCTTTCCTGTGAAAGACAGCAGGATGACCTATATAGCAGAGCAGCTTATAATTTACATCCACCTTACAAAATGAGGAACAGCCTAAGGGAGGAGAGCTAGGGGCTTAAAAATCCAATCTGGTCCATCTTTATTCTGATCCCTCATGTAGATTCTTGACATTTCTCATCTCTTTCTTTCTAATTTTTTTCATTTTTAATGGAATATATTCATTGTACACGGGAAATTTATTATGATAATTCTGAATGTAATTTCTTATTTTATTTACTTTTTTGATGGTACTGGGGATTGAACTAGAGCCTAACACTTGCTAAGCTTGTACTCTATCACTTGAGCTACGTGGCCATCTCAAAAAGGAACTGGTTTCATGTTTTTTTGGTGGGACTGGGGTTTGAACTAAAGGCTTCATGCTTGCAAAGCAGGCGCTCTACTGTTTTCTTTTTTTGTTTTTGAGACAGAGTCAAGACCAGGTTAGCTCACTTGTCTGACTTTATTCTCTATCAATCTGGGCATCAAAATGACCCAGTCTCTTTCCTTTGTCAAAGTCCAGTGGCTTAACTGAAGGGCTTAACTAAGGACCTAGTGGTAAAAGAGATTTCTGATCAGATTAGGACCAGATTAATTCATGTAGTCCAGGCTGATTTTGAACTCCTATTCCTCCTGTCTCCTGAGTGCCGAGATTATAGGCATGTACCACCACACCCAGCTAGAATTTCCCATCTCTTTCTTCTCAAGATAAGCTTGAACTGCTATTCAACTCATTACCATTAAACTAGACATTGCTGGTCAGTACAAAACAAACTGTGATAGATTATTTCTGCTGTGACTGAACAGTGGTCACAACTAAAAAGTAGTACCTGCTGACTTGGCCCAAGAAGGGGGATTTTCTTCAGGTGTTCCAAAGATGTTAGAAGCCATTTTGTTCTTCCTCACAGGCTGTTCTGTTGGTTCATCAAAGCCTAATGAAAAATTGGATCCACCTCCTGGAGGCCGCAAAACCCTAGAAATCATGGCAAAAGGTTAATTTCAGATCCAACCAAAACATTTCTTGGCATAAATATTTTCTACCACTTTTCATTTCCCTCACCCAAAAGAGAGCTGCTAGGAGGAAAAAAGAACTGGCTCATCCTGGTGTGAGTTCAATGCTGGATGTTAGGAGGCCCACTACTGCTTTAGCACGTTTCTAAGAAGGTCATGCATACACCAGGCAGCTGAAACTGTCTGAGTGTCCTCACAGATAACAGCCTGCCTGGTTCCCTTTCCAGAAAGGATTAGAGAGACCTAAGGGACATTGTCCTATGAGGCTTAGCTGAACATATCTGCAAAGAAGTTTAGAAGCACATCTTGTCATTTATCCATTTGAAAATCATTCCTACTTTATTTTCAGCCAACTAAAATAACGAAAGAATATATATAATATATATAAGAACGACTGGTGGGCTGGCAAAGTGTCTCAAGTGGTAGAGCACCTGCCTAGCAAATGTGAGGCCCTGAGTTCAAACCCTACTACCACCACCAAAAAAAAAAAAAAACAACTAGTCCAAGGAGAGCTCACTGGTGTTAGATGTCTCACTAGCACTGGTGAGCCCTGTTTCTATGCTTATACTCACCACAGAGAAAGAGTTAATATGAGAAATGAAGTGTGCACCATTACACCACGTTTCTATTTCTTAAACTGATTTGAATAAGAAGCCTTTATTTTTAGGAAGGTATTCATTTCTTCTAAGTTTCCAAATAAATACAGTTGTCATTTACAAATTCAGCTTATTATATTAGAAAACAAAGACTGAAAATAGTGTACGTAAGTGTGAACTCCCTTCTGAGAGCCCCTTTAGAGGACATTCAAGTCTTGACACACAGCACTCTCACTACTGCTTCATCCTAAATATTTTTTTATTCATATGTGCATACAATGTTTGGGTCATTTCTCCCTCCTCCCCCTTCATCCTAATTATTGTCTCAGTTCAATCTCCTGTGCCCATAGGTTTTAGAAGTATATTTTTATGTGTATTATGGAATACACCTGTATTCCCAGCACTCAGGAAGCTGAAGCAAGTGGATTGACAGTTAAGAGTCTATTTGAGCTACATAGGGAGACACTTTTTTTCTTTTTTTAAGTGTATATTTATGGTGCCAAAAATAGGGGTGTAATTTTTAATTGGTTCTGCAATAAAGTATAAGGCAGACAACAGAATCTGGTATGCCATGAATCCTTTGAAATTTCAATTTTGCGTTAATTGCCTAATCTGTGCTCAATTTCATAAATTATGTATGCATGTTTCAAAAGAATGTATATATTTACCAGTGTTTCCTACATGTCTACTAGAGTAAGCCTGTTAACTGAATTGGTGAAATCTTTTTTTTTTTAACCAGGGTTTGAACTCGGCCTCATGCTTGCTAGGCAGGTGCTCTACCACTTGAGCCACTCTGCCAGTCTTTTTTTGTATTGGGTCTCTCAAACTATTTGCACAGCCTGGCTTTGAACCATGATCTTCCTGATCTCTGATTCCTCAATAACTAGGATCACAGGCGTGAACCACCAGTGCAGGGCTTATTTTTTAAAATGTTTTATCACTTACTGAGAGACTCAGTTATCAACTTCTACTCCAATGGTGTGTTTGTCAGTTTCTCTTGAGAATTTTGTGACCATAAGGAGTTCTCAGCCAGGTGTAAATCCCAGCACTCAGGAGGCTGAGGCAGGAAGACCTCCAACTTGAGGCCAGTCTGGGCCACAAAATAACTCTCAAAACAGAGTTCTGACAAAGACTGTCCCTAAAGCATGGATAGCTTCAACCTCAGAGCTGGGTGCAGTGAGCCAGGTCTGTAGTCCCAGCTACTGGGGGAAGCCCAGGGAGGAAGAACCACTTGAATACAGGAGCTGGAGACCAACCTGAGTAACATATACCAAGACTCCAAAAAAAAAAAAAAGTTCAATCTCCCTAGCTGCAATATGTATTTTCTGTCTGTGGTTCCTGGAACAAACTCCCTCCCCAAGGCAGGTCACAGAGATTAGAATATCCCTTCCCCACGGTGGGACACAGAAACTCTAATGTCCACTATTCTGTCTTAGAGCTGCCCATAAAGCTGTGGCTCACATTATAATCCTAGCTACTTGGGAGGCTCAGAATGGGAGGATCATGGTTGAGGCCAGCCCCTTAACCCCATCTCAATCAATAGCTGGGCACAGTGGTGCACACGTGTCATCAGAATCTACAGAAGGCTGAGATCAGGAGGATCTCAGATCCAGGCCAGCCCAGACAAAAAAGTTTGGAAGTTCCCATCTCAAAGAAAAAAAGCTGGGCATGGTGGCACATGCGTGTCATCCCAGTGATGCAGGAAGCTTAAAACAGGAGGGTCCTGGACCAGGCTAGCCTGGGCAAAACACCACTCTTATCTCCAAAACAGAGCAAGTTTGAAGCCCTGACTTCAAACTCCAGTAATACTAATTTTAAATTTCTCTGGCTAGGGAGCAAGCTCAAGTGCAGAACACTAGCCTAACATGAGGTCCCAAGTTTAAATCCCAGGACCACTAAAAGAAAAAAATTAGCAAAAAGAAATTTCTGACCTACTCTTGGCCCACAGTATGTCATAAGAACCTCTTCATTCCAGAGGGTCCTGCCCTGTACTCTGGAGGGACAGATGCTACAGAGAGGCCAAGGAGAATATGGAAGCACAGAGTCGGGTGTGCTGCCACACACCTGTCACAGAACTCAAGAGGCTGAGGCAGAAGGATCGCAGTTCTAGGCCAGCCTGGGTTACACAGCAATCCTGTCTCAAAACAAACAATCTGAAGCAGACGGGCCTGCTGCGTTTACTCACTCAGTCTCTCAACATGAGATTTCACCATTTGTCCAAACACATCATAGCTTCAATCACACCTCTGCACTATGCAAAGCAATTTTCACAAAAACCCAGAAGGAAAGCTTCTGGGTACCTGAGACCTGGAGGTTCCCGGAGGGGGTGGCACCTGGAGAGGGCATGGAAGCTGAGCACCTCTTCTCCCATAATTCCCTATGCCCCTCCTCATCTGTGCCCTTTGTACTGTCTTTCATAATAAGCCAGTAAGCATCTGAGTCTTGTGAGCTGCTCTAGCAAATTCATCAAACCTAAGAGGGAATTAAGAACCTGATTTATAGCTAGTTGATCAGACACACAGATGCAGGAAAAGCCTGGGACACAAAGTAGGGTGACATCTAAAGTGGGGTGGGGGACAAGTCTTGGGGACTGAGCGTCTCATGCTATCTGCAGGCAGTGTGAGAGCGAATAGGACTGGAGGACACCCAGGCAGTGCCTGCAGCAGGAAGATAGCCCCGCCTTTTAAGTACACCTTTTGAGTGCATGTGTTGTGGCTTAAAAGCAAAGAAAAAATAAAAGACTTGGTTGGTTTTTCCTACTTAGACTAAAAACAAATGTGATTTAAAACAAAAGGATATATGTTTGCTTATTAGAATGTGAAAGATGGGGGAAGGGATGCCAACTCAACATCATAAGTTCATACAAACTTTTTTTTTTTTGGCAGTACTGGGGTTTTAACTCAGGGCCATGCACTTGCCTGGCAGGTGCTCTACTACTTGGAGCCATGCCCCCAGCCCTTTTTCCTTTCATTATTTTTAGAACAGTGTCTTGCTTTTATTTTTGGGCTTGCCTGGGTGGTGATCCTCCCATTTGTGCTTCCCCACCTAGCTGGGATGACAGGCATGCACCACCATGTGCAGCTTTTTATTGGTTGAGAAGGGGGTCTTGCTAACGTTTTGCTGGGCCTACCCTCGAACTGAGATCCTCTCCATCTCAACCTCCTGTGTGGCTCACTAACATTACTTGCAAGTTGCTTAACCTCTCCGCCTGGGTTTTCTACTCTATAAAATAAAGATAACAGTGTGCCTCACAAGACTATGACTATTAGAATATCACACATAATCTAGAACATGCAATCAGGCACACGAGCTATTATTATGGCCATATAAATTTCACCACAGTGTTATTGGGTTTCCTCTCATGGATGGGACTTCAGATGAATTTTAATGTCTCTTTTATACTCACATTTTTCTGTATTGCTATTAATCTAAAAAAGAAATTTTGGGGGGTGATACTAGGGTTTCGACTCAGGGCCTTGCACCTGCTAGACAAGTGCCACACCCCAATCCTTTTTGCTTTAGTTATTTTTCAGATATGGTCTTGAGTTTTTTCGAGGACAGCCCTGGACTGCAATCCTCCTGCCTATCCTTCCTGCAGCTATGCACTGCCACGCCTGTGTTTGTTGAGATGGTGTCTCACTGATTATTTGCCCAGGCTAGCCTTGAACCTCCATCCTTCCCGTCTCCACCTCACAAGTAACTTGGACTTTGACACAGGGTTTTGGTATGTAGTCCAAGCTGGCCTTGAACTCCCAATTTTCCTGCTTAGCCTCCTTAGTGCTAGAATTCATTTAGTGCTCTAAAATTCATTTAGACTTTCTGGATTCCAAAAATCCCTACCAGTAGCCAGTGCCTGCCTAGCAAGCTCAAAGCAAACCTCAGTACCACCAAAAAAAAAAAAAAAAAAAACCAAAACCCAGAAAACGTAACACACACAGCAGGGCCTGGCAAGCCCTTTTCCAACCATCCATTCCAGATGCCTAGACAGAAATTCTGCCTCTTAGCTCCTTTTGGTATGGGCTGGCACCCTGGCCTCAGCACCCTAACACTGCCCCTCACTGGACTCACAACATCCATTCCTGCACCAGGTATTGACCACTGCCCTCCCCTGCCTCCTTTTGTGCCAGGCCTCAGTTTAGCAGACAGCAAGGCTTGGTTATGTGGAAACTAAAGGGAATGGAATAAACTCTGCCCTCTAGCAATATGGCCTCTTCTCAAACAGCTCTAGATGGTTCCACCCACCTTCCTCAAGTCAGTCCCGCAACTTCATTCACTGATCCATGGCTTATCTCCACCTGGGAGTCTTAACCCACCTGTTTTCTCCTGCTGGGAGCACAAGCCACCTGGTCCTCAGTGTCTGTCCAAACTCTAGCTCATCTCTTCAACCCCTGCCTCCTCCAGAAGATGTGAGCGGTACAGCCAGAACAGCAGGGAGGAGGGGATAAGCGCTCCTGGGGAGTGGCCAGCTTTCTGTAAAGGACCAGCTGGCAGACACTTTCGGCTTTGTAAATCAGGTCTTCCTAAAACATTCACTGTCGTGTTGCACAAAGGCAGCCACAGATAATGTGAAGATGATTGTATGGCTGTCCAAGAAAACTTTATGGACCCTGCAATTTTATTTTCATGTTATTTTCCTAAGTAATGAAATCTTATTTTTCTTAACCATTTATCAATGTAAAAATCATGCATAGTTCAGGGGCCCTACAAAAACAGGGGAGGCTGGGTCTAGTGTGCAGGTAGTGGTTTGAGTTCTGCTCTGGCTGGTCAGGAATGTAGAGGCAGCCAGCCCCGAGAAGCTCTAACTACCTGCCTGAGAAGCTCTAACTACCTGCCCAGCACCGGCTGGTGGAGCTGACACCAAACCCTCAGCTCCTGGCAGGCACACCCCAAGTGCTCCAAGTACTTCAGTGGGGAATGACACAATGCCATTTTTCTCTTTACACTACAAACCTGTGCAGTCAGTGCTTTGATTAAGGTTTTCCTGTTTCCTAGCCTTGCAGTCCCTCTAGCTTCCACCTCTGAATGTAGTATTAATGTCTACCCTTAGAAAAAATGCAATACTCACTTCAAGCTAAATAAAAATTTCATTATCAGCTGGGGGCATGGTGGCCCACAAATGTCATCCCAGCACTCTGTAGGCTGAGGCAGAAGAATTAGGGGTTTGAAGCCAGCCTCAGTGACAGAGTAAGGCACTGCCACACACAAACACTCTAAGTAGGGCACCAGTGGCTCACACCTGTAATCCCAGCTACTCAGGAGGCAGAGATCAGGAAGATCAAGGTTCCAAGCCAGACTAAGCAAATAGTTCACAAACCCTATCTTGAAAAAACCCATCACAAAAATGGGCTGTTGGAGTGGGTCAAGGTGTAGACCCTCAGTTCAAACCCCAGTAACACAGACACACACGCACAAAAATCATTCTACTCCCAAGACTCCACTGCATTCCTTTACAACATGTAAAATGTCTAAAACCACAAAAAGTCTCCAATATTAAGTATCCACTTAGATTACATTCATTATATAAGTGTGTGCAGGCATACATTTTATTTTATGCTTAAATTGTTTAAATTACAACCAAAAGTATCTTACAGAGTGTCTCCAGGACCTGAAACTGAAAGCCACCGTCAGCCAGTCAGTCATGTGTCGCTGGAAATGCTTTAGCACTGGAATGGAACCCACCAGATACAGCCAGACTGACAGGTTACGAACAGTGCTCAGCTCACGGATTCTTAACAGGCTTTCTCTTATGTTAAAGTCTGAAGGGATTCAGTTTTTATCGTTTGTACTTGAAATATTACAATCAAAATCAACTTGTTTCACTGTCACCTCTAGAGATTCCAATGATTTTCTACTAATCATAATTAAATCTCATGATTTTAGTCATATGAATTCTTCAGAATGCTAATGGGATTAAAAATATTTTTGGCCTTTAAAAAAATTAAAAAGGCAAGAATGAAGCACTAGTACCCACACATCTGCTTAAAAATCAAGCCAAAGCTCTGTCCAGTCCAACTTCTACAGGTCTGGGTTCCTTCTGCAACAGCAGGTAATACCTACTCAGATGACGTCAGCGTTGTAGAGACCATTTGAAATGGCGAGATCCCCAAACAAAGGATTTGATCATAAGACAAAGTATTTCAGTTTTATTTTTTACTATTTCTTTCTGAACCATACACATGATAACTACATCAGGATTACCTATTTAAGGCTCAAAAAAACATTATACTACAGATGGAAATTTTTTTTAAATTATTTCTTTCTTTTCTCTTTAAAAATCCCAGAGTTTCCAAATGATCTTTGCAGATCATTCTCCACCACACTAGATTTATAATAAGGCCATAAAGCCAGGAAAATGTTCCTAGAGAAAAGACGTTCAGGAGAATCAGGTGTGTTTATAGAAGGAAAGGTGGACAGTAAATAAAACAACAGTGCTACAGTACCTAGATCACAGCACTGAAGGGAAGAGATGACAAAGACGAATTAAAACATTTATTTTGCAGAAATGAAAATCATTCACATCTCACATTTCGAACACACATGTGAAAAGACAAGCAGGAGGATTCATTTGACCTGGGCAGTGAAATCCCTACAAAGCCCTCAACTCAACCCCAAAGGATGAAACCCCAGATTGCACATTCTCATTCCAACAACTGAAGTCTGCCCAGCAGAAAGTTGATCTAATCTCACAAAATGCAAAATCAAACCTCCATTTGTCTCAGTATACTCTAAAAAAGTCATCTCATGGGAAGGGTGACAACAGAAGAGGGAGTGACCAGCATTTTCTTGGGTCTGTATTACTTAAGTTCCCAACCCTCCTAGTAAGCTCTAACTCAGTTTTTTCGTCTTTCCCATTCTTTTCTGCATCGCATAACCAAAGGAGTTCGTTGAAAGGGAAGGTGGCTTCCAGTACTTCTTCCTGAGACTCCTCTGCTGAGGCGTGCTTTTTGTTCCCAAGTTCTCTAACCCCATGAGATATTGCTATTTCATGCCTGCTTCTTAGCCCCACAAAATGGCTCCCTTTGTGCCACTTGGCCAGGACCCCAAGACTGGCCACACACTGCAGGTCGTGTTCAATGGCGAATGTCCAGTGAAAGTGGACTCTAAGCTTTCTCCAAGCCTTGAGGGAAGGTCCCAGATACCCATAACCCGTCTTAAAGGACAGTGTGCAATTAGCTGAGACAATGTGGATACCCTCCACAGAACCCAAACCCTTTCACCAAGTTCTGCCAGGGCTCGGAAAAGGGTCCCAAGTCCAAATGCCGTGCCCAGTGCCCCTCCCCAAAATGCAATAGGAAGAGCAGCAAGAAAGGCCCCCTTCCCAGATGCAGATACTAAAGAAGAGACAATGGATGTCAACCCGGCCCCGCCCAAGAACAGGAAACCTCCTCCTGCAAGGGAACCAGGGACAGGGATGAACTCATTTGGCAAACGTCAAGGGCAGAAGTGAAGAAGGCAGGATAGAAATAACGAGGTCCGAAGGTTTGAGCGCAGGAAACCCAAACGGACTGGCCCGTTCCCCCTCGCGCTCGGAGGTGGGCGCGGGGAGGGGGCAGGAGACGGGGTCTCTCCTTTGTTTGGAGAGGGGAGGCACTTCGAAGAGAGGAAGGACGGTTGGGTCCTGGACTGGAGAGAGGCATAGCGATGGCCAGCCTATCCCGACCCCAAATGCACCTGCCGACGGGCCCGAGCAATGTGTGGGGCCACCGCGAGAAAAAGATCCCAGGGACTCGGCAGATCCGATCTCAGGATCTGACCACCGCGCCCATGCTCGCGGTCAGCACATGCTGGGGGACACCACATGCCCGGGGCTAGAAGAAGGAGCGCATGGCCCGGTGGTGGGACAATGGGACCTGACCTGGGCACTCCAGAGGTAACGTCTGGACACCTGGGAGACCAGGACCACAATCTTGGGCTGGGCCAGGCTCGCTGCAGAGGACAGAAAGCGAACCCCGCCCCCGCACGTTCAAACTAAAACCTGTAGTGCCGGGAGGGGCGGCCGACCCCAGCCCCGACCCCCCCAGCCCTCACTCGGTGGGAGAAATGAATGGCGAGCAGTGGGATCGGGGCGGGGCCGGCGTGCCCGGCTAGCCCGGCGGCACAAAGCGGCTCGTCGCAAAGCTCCGCCACCCGCCCGGGCGCGAGCGGAGCGAACCCGCAAGTTACAGACAACGACCGACACCCGGCCCGCCCTGCCCGCAGGCAGCCGCTCGCCAGTCCTCAACCCCCGCGCGGCTCGGGCGCGGCCACATCGCCTCACCGGGAGCTATTCCTGCTGTTGGGGTCGACACCCTTGAAGGTGGTGGTGGTGGTCATGGCGCCGAGGAGCGAGGTAGGCTGGCGCGGTTACAGAATGTTGAAAGGGAAGGACCCGAGGGACGCAGAGACCTTCAGACCACAGCCGGCCACTGCTGCAGGAACCACCGCCACCGCCTGCCAGCCAGCCGGCCGCTTTTATTGGGCTCTTAATCCCCGCCCATATGCCATCGGGATTGGATGATTCAAATGGATCTGTTTGATCCTATTGGCTTCCTGCAGTGCCAAACACCGTGCGGGGCCACGACGGGCTGCGGAGGCCGTGGCTTGGACTAAGACCGCCCCCTTCCTGGACAGGCAAAGTCTAGGATGGTCTCCCCTCCCCCACCCAAAAATCTCAACGAGGATTGGACAGGAGGCGAACCTGCCCAGCGCACGGTACGGTTCCTGCTCACCGTCACTTAAAAAGTTGCTTGGACAGAGGGAAATCTCGCTCGGAGGGAATCAGAACAAGGACAGATTTGTCGTTATCATCACTCATTTGCCTTACCTTTATGGTGGGATAATAACGGCATCCTTTTATATCTTTTTTTTTTCCTTTGGATGTCTCGGGGCCATTTCTTTTTACCCGATGGCTCACTCCGGCCGACCAGTTGTCTCTATGTCTGTTTCTTTCTATTTGTGGTTGTGTCTGTTGTTCCTCTGGCTACTCTAAATTTGTTTGTGTCTTTCTCGCTCCCCCCCCAAAAAAAAAATCCCCAAAAAACTGGTGTTTTAACTCCCAGCCTTGACATTGCCAGGCAGGTGCTCTACCACTTAAGCCATGTCCCTGGCGCAAGGCCATCCTTCTTAAGGATTGAAAATTATTGCTAGGAGTTTACATTTATTTTTACTGAATACCTACTGTGTGTTCCGTTTGGAAACCTAACAAAGCAGTATGAGTCAGCAACAGAAAGCACGCCAAGATGATCTTTTTAAATGACTAGAAATTCTTTACATTTTAATGTTTCTATTCCACTGTAATGGATAGTGCAGGAGTTGCACCAAACTGCAGTTGTTCCGAATTGAGGGCTTGTTCTAAAGCTGGTTAATACCCAGCAAAGGGGGAATGACCTCATTCCCTTCTACCAAGACTATCAAAAGGAGCCCAGGCCTCTGCAGCTGTTTATAACCCTTAAGTCATGACTTCCACCTGTCTGAGTAAATCTATCCCCGCAACAGATGCACCCACACTTGGTGGACTCAGGAATGACTGTTTACAAAATTATAATAGGGAGGTCTTGGGTAAAGACGTGCAGGCAGTTGATGGATAACCCTTTCTCATGTAATGCACATTTCCTCAAAGCAGATACCTTTCTTAGTCTTAAGTAGTTCCATAAAAATTGAACTGCATTCTTTTTTGCATGGCCCCCTTCCAGGCAATTGGAAGTTGTTATCTTCAGCCATTCTGGTTAACTATCCTCCTGGGCTTTCAGTCATAAGTTAGGGAGAAGTTCCTTTCTTCTAGAACCCATGACCGTACATCTATGTGCTTAGCACACCATTTGTTTGGGCTGGATCTTCCCATTCTTAAAGGCCAAGTATAAATTTCCAAAACCTTAAAACAAAACAAGCAAGCATCAGACCAATCTAACCAGTGAGCATGCTCTCTTCAGAAACCATGTAATTAGCTGGGCCAGTTGGCTCAAACCTGTAATCCTAGCTACTTGGGAGACAGAGACTGGGAGATTTTTGGTTGGAAGCCAGCCCAGGAAAAATGTTTGTGAAACCCCATCTCAACTAATGGCTGGGCACAGTGACATGTGCCTGTCATCCCCAAGGGAAGTGTAAATAGGAGGATCACAGTCCAGGCCAGCCTAGGCACATAACAAGGCCATATCTCAAAAATAACCAAAGCAAAAAGGGCTGGTGGGCTGGGCACTGGTGGTTCATGTCTGTAATCCTTGCTACTTGGGAGGCTGAGATCAGAAGTTCAACGCCAGCCAGGACAAATAGTTCATGAGACCCCATCTCCAAAATAACCAGAGCAAAATGGAAATTGGAGGTGTGGCTCAAGTGGTAGAGAGCCTGCTTTGCAAGCTTGAAGTCTGAGTTCAAACACACCAGTCCTACCAAAAAAATATATCCTGGTGGTGTGGCTCAAGTGCTAGAGCTCTTGCCTAGTAACTTCGAGGACTTCAATTTGTCAGCCCCAAGTACCACAAAAAAAAAAAAAAAAAAAATTATCGAGTACAGTAGTTGCTAGTTTTGGCTCTCATGGTAGAAATCTAGATGGTGGAGTGGCTCAAATGGTAAGAATGCCTGCCTAGCAAGCTTGAGGACCTGAGTTCAAACCCCAATACCCTCCAAAACAAAAATGTAATTAACAATTAGCTCCAATTAGAAATATCTTTACTCAAAAGTAGGAATAATCCAGTTGTTCTTTTCCATCACTTTGTGCCTGCTAAGGTAATAATTAAATTTTAACCATACACACACAAAGTCCTAATTTAGCATCTCTTAGCTTTCAAGCATCTATTTTACCTTGAGTGTTGCCAGCTCTCCCAGTATTTTGGCAGTGTTTTGAATCCCCTGCATTTCCAAGTGCCTCAACTTATTCCAGAATGCCAGAAGAAATGGGCAGTCTACACTGACCTCATTCTTGGCATTTACTCTCCCTAGACTCTACAATCCAGTTGGAATTAGTCTCTTTGTTCTGTCTTTACTATGATCTAGTACACACAGGATAGGCTGCACTGTGTGGGGAACTGCAATATTTGAGTGTTTTTGAATTATGAACTGCAATAATAGCTGCTTTTATATTCAACACTTTTTTTTTTTGATGCTAGAGACCAAACCTGGTCTCTACATGCTAGACCAGAGTTCTACCGATGATCTATATATGCTATATACCTCAAGCCTAAGCCTAACAAATACTTTCATGGTTACTACTCCATTGTTTCATTGTTAAGGGGAAAAGCCGATCATGTGCTTTTGAACTTCACTGTGACTAAAATAATGCACTGTTAACTGACAAGAATTCCTACACACTTTACTTCTCAATCCCACCCTCTCAGGCTGTACCTTAACACATAGTCTCAATCCATCACTTTTTTGGGGAGGGCAGGGGGTGACACTGGGGTTTGAACTCTAGGCTTCCTGCTTGCTAGACGAGTGCTCTACAGCTTGAGCCATGCCTCTAGCCCCTGAGTTCATCACTGTTAAAGCCAAATTTAGTAATCATCTGTCCTTTTCTTACCTATATCCTCACCAAAACAAATCAATGCTATTGGGAGACAGCCAAAGAAGTTTATTTCCACTTAAATAAGTCATTAATGAACTGGGCCTGGTGGTGCAGAGCTATAATTCCAGCACTCTATAGGCTCAGGCAGGAGGATCATAAGTTCAAGACCACTCTGAGGTACATAGAGATCATGCCTCAAAATACCAAAGGCTGGACTGGTGAAGTGGTTCAAGTTGTAAAGCACTTGCCTAGCACGCACGAGACCCTTGAGTTCAAACCCCAGTATAGCAAAAAATTCAGGTGGCTTAAAAAAACAACAGCTGGGATATAGCTCAGTAGTAGAGTACTTGCCCAGTGTAAGACCTTTGGTTGGATACCCAACATCACCAAAAACAAAAAAACCCCAAGAGGTCTCAAATGTAAAAAACAGTTTTGTCATGTCATGCCTGGTATTTAAGGTCAAAGTAAATAGGATGGTACATACACTCTACCAAGGCCTTTTCAGCCCTTTTAACACTTTTTAAATTGGCGGTACTGGGGTTTGAACTCTAAGGCTTCATGCTTGAGCACGGCACCAGACATGAGTCATCAGCTTTTTTACTTCTCAAGTAAAAAAGCAAAAAACAAGCTGAGTGCTGGTGGCTCATGCCTGTAATACCAGCTACTCAGGAGGCAGAGATCAGGAGGATCTCATTTCAAAGCCAGCCCAAGCAAACAGTTTATACAGACACTATCTTGAAAAAAACAATCACAAAAAAAGGGCTGGTGGAGTGGATCAAGGTGTAGGCTCTGAGTTCAAACCTCAATACTACAAAAAAAAAAAAAAAAGAAAAGAAAAGAACAAAAATACAAACACTACCCATATGTACTGCTCACCTACAGGGATTTAGCCTCCTTTGTAAAAATGATTGTTAAAGTTTAGCAGGGCACCATGGGTCACACCTGTAAATCCTAGCTACTCAAGAGGCAGAGATTAGGAGGATCATGGTTTAATTAAAGCCAGCCCAGGCAAATAGTTTGCAAGACCCTATCTCAAAAAACTCATTACAAAAAAAAATGGCTGGTGGAGTGGCTCGAGCCCTAAGAGTTCAAATCCCAGTAACCACAAATAAATAAATAAATAATAAAAGTTTAGAAAGGGAGGCCCAGAAAAATGCAAGAGGACATTCTCTTAATATGCCAAATTATATAATTTGTAGCCAAGTTAGCCACAAAATATACCTTTGAAATATAAATTATAAAGAAAGCAAATATGACAATTTTTAGACATTAAAGGGTTTCACAAAATCCCTAAGGGTGTAATAAATCGTAAAATGATCTCATATAGTCATATGTCACTCTTATAGGGAAGTAACACTCCATATTCCAGACTAAATTCCAACCTGTTTATATGCTGTTCTAATAAAACTTTACCCTGAGAAACTCTTTGCATTAGCTAACCACTATAAAAACCAATCTCAGTGTAGCACATGTGCATTCACTACATATAGTACCAGCCTTCAAGTCATAAACTAGATCAAAGTGTTGAAGCAGCCTGTGGATGTGATCTTTAAGGTTTCAAAGACTCATTAAAATCCTGAGGAATGTTTCTCCTTAGGCTTGCTAAGGCACAATTTCTCTTGAGAGAAAAATTTTATTTATTCACTGTTTAAAATAAATAGGAAGCTGTTGGCTTATCCTCAGTTGGAGGCTCAGAATTGTGCTACAAAACACTACTTCAGTGTTAAGACAACTTTAATGTGGCAGACACTGTGCTAGGCATCCAAAACACAAATTACCGGGGGGTAGGGGGAGAGAAATGACCCAAATATTGTATGCACATATGAATAAAAGAGAAAACACACACACACACACACACACACAAATTACCTCATTTAATCTTCACCATAAGGTGCTTAATTCTTAGGGTGGTTAGGACGCCTCCCAGTCACTGCTCTATTCCTTACTG